TCTTTCGTTTCCTCTTCCTTTAGGGGTCGCGGAGAGAAAGCCCAAGGAGGAAGTAAACACAGGAGACGTCACTCATTTCGATCATAAACAACCCCAATGAGCAACGAATAGTAAGTTAGCCCCTTTCCCTCCAAAGACTTTTTCTTTTCCTGTTTATTTTCTCTGGAATTGTTTGTGTGAAAATTTTTTTTTTTTTTTTTTGCGTTTTTGGCTTGATTTCAGCGATTACCTGTTCAAGCTTCTGCTAATCGGGGACTCCTCGGTTGGAAAATCTTGCTTGCTTCTCAGATTTGCTGTGAGTTGACTTTGTTGGTGCATTTTTGTTATACTGTCACCCATTTTGCTTATTTTGGGTTATTCTGCGGAGCGAAACATTGTTTCAAGTTAATGGTTGGTTAATTTTATTTCATTGCTCACTATAATTTTCAGGATGACTCGTATGTGGACAGCTACATAAGCACCATTGGGGTTGATTTTGTAAGTATCATTCTCTGCTTTATTAAGTACATTTCTGATAATTTTTTCTTTTTCTTTTTTCTTAATTTATATTCAGATATTTTCATGGTTGAAAAGCAGCAACTTGCTTTTTTCTTTTCAGAAAATCAGAACTGTGGAGCTGGAAGGGAAAACAGTCAAGCTGCAGATTGTGAGTAGAAACTGTGGCCTTTATCATACGTGCTCTTCATTTAATAAGATTTTGTATTATGACTAACTATGTGGCTTATATGATATCTAGGCATGTCTCATCCTATATGATGTTGTGTAGCCGTAGGATCATATTCGTTGTACCCAGTTCAAGGAAGTGATGTAACTTGTAATCCTGTCTAATAAAATATGAAAAGTAGCGTGTATTTTACTTCATTGTTTAGAACATTTATGCTTCAAAACCATGCAAATTAGGGCTATGATTTCCCAAAATACTGCATTTAAAGCTGCAAATTTCATTTAATATACACCCATATCATCTGATTTTGATAGCATATGCAGAGGGGATCTGCAGATAATTTTCCATTCATGGTTTGTCCAACTGCATTTTTCTCTTCATTGTCATGGTTTCACAGAAGCAACTTGGTTGTGTAATTCAGTTTGAGCATTTGGTGTAACCTTATTAAAACAGGCTTCTAATTTGCTTGCTAATATATTCCAAAGCCTAATCTAGTAAAGTTTTAATTAGAAGTGATGAATCTGACACTCTGTCCTTTTCGTTTTTAGTGGGATACTGCCGGACAAGAGAGATTCAGAACCATAACAAGTAGTTATTATAGGGGAGCTCATGGAATAATTGTAAGTGGCTCTGTTCTATCGTCATTAAACTGCAAGGAATATAATAAAGACTTTGTCTCAGCAGCAAAATCTATCAAACTTTTGAATTATATATGGTTTGAGATTGCAACAGATTGTCTATGATGTTACTGAGATGGAGAGCTTCAACAATGTCAAGCAGTGGTTGAATGAAATTGATAGATATGCTAATGACAGTGTCTGCAAGCTTCTTGTTGGTAACAAATGCGATCTAGTTGATAACAAGGTTGTTGACACGCAGACAGCTAAGGTAAATGTGACTGTTGGATTGTAATTTCGCAATTTTTTTATGTCAAATTCAACCTAACGTCGGGCATCTTCTCATACATGCTTGCTTTCTATATTTTCATTTTTATTTATATTAGTTTTCTGTTTCTGTCTGTTCTAGCCGTTTCTTGTTGATCTTGTTATAAATTGTAACATCTTGACAATGCGATGTATAAGTTCAAACTTGGTAATATGTGTTTATATATGCAAATGGGTTAGTTTGATGGCTACCTAACACGAGGCATAGAGTGAAATTGTCTGATTTTTGCTTGATGGTAGGGATCAAATGCGATTTGCAGTGGATACTCAGGCAACAAATAAAATTTTGTTAGTTTTGAACGTACCAAAAGAGAGAGAAATTAATTAAGGTGTTCCTTATCTAACATGATTTCTTCATATCTATGGGTTTAATTACAGGCATTTGCTGACGAACTTGGTATCCCTTTCCTCGAGACAAGTGCTAAAGACTCAATCAATGTGGAGCAGGCCTTCTTAACCATGACGGCTGAGATTAAGAAGAAGTATTTTTTTCTTCCCACTTCCCTTATTTCTGAATGATTTAGATATTGATCAATTCACAGATAATGAATACTATGATTTAGGTTTTTGTTTGATTTGTTTTGGCCTCCTGCCCTTTTCCTCTTGGTTGAAGTTGAAGATTATCTCTAATTGAAAAGTTTAATAATATAACAAGTGTAAGCCCTTACTTTTCATGGCAATTTTAATTTCTGCATTCCCATGTTGCAGCCATTCTCACATGTTGTCTGTGTGATGGGAGTTTATTGTTGTTAGAATCATTAAATTCACTTTGTAATATGTAATGTAACTGAGGAAAAATTGAATGATGTAATTGTGATGTTTGAAGTCAAGTGTTTGCTTTTTTATATAACTCCTTGCTGTTTCTGGATTTTATTTATTGGCTGCATATTAGGTACAGAGTGATTATATTCTGATCACTTCATTACTTCAAAAGCAATTAACTATCTCATGTGTACCCTTTTGTCTGGTGAGTTGGTCAACAAGTTCTTCAATAAATATATAATCAGTGGATGAAATTTTTTGCAAGTGACAATTCTGTAATCTTAAACCATAAGAAGTATCCAAATTGAATCCTCCACATTCATGAATTTATACATTTGGAGAGAGACCAATACAAGAGAATGGGATTATGTTTGGACTTCACATTATATTATTACACTCATCTACTCTATTTTTCTTTATCTCTCTAGATGGCCTTTGTTTATTTTTGTGAATGTAAAAGATTTGAATTGGAACAAGAATCCAACATGTTTTTGTTAGAGATTGACATCAAACATGTACATAAATTTTTGTCCTTTCATGACTTAAAAAAGTGCTTTCACGTTAGTTGAGACAAGACTCCTCTCACATATTTATTTTGTATATTGTAGAATTACTTTTAAAATTATGATTTGGTTTTCACCCAAACACTACTTTAGTGTAACTTTTTGTGATTGCAGGATGGGAAGCCAACCAACAACAGGTGGCAAGTCAACAGGAACTGTTGAGATGAGGGGACAGCCAATCCAGCAGAAGAGCAACTGCTGTGGTTAAATCACAAAACATCTGTGTATTTTCTACTTTCCTTTCATATTATGTTAATATAATATAACCTGTTGGCTCTCTCGATATGGATCATTTTCTCTGTAACCGTTGAACCATGGTCTGTTTTAATAGTCTTTTAAACGTAGTTCTGATGAACCCTTGAAAATTTAGAATTAAATCTCAGCAATTTCCTGCAGGCGTCTTTTGTTTTTGGTATCAAACTTTGCATCTACTGGCATCTTTTACTGAATTTAATATTTGATACAAGCGTGCCCTCATACATTCCAAAGGGGCAAAAAAAAAAAAAAAAAAAGACACAAAAGGCTTATTGTGTTATGTATGGGTTCACTTCTGCAGCTGTCTTTCTTTCTTTCTTTCTTTTTCGGGAAATTGGGGGAGGGTCCCAATTGAAATTTTATTTATGAGAAAAATCTAGTAAGTTTTTATCTAAAGGAAGTACTAGTATTCTGCAAAAGTTGTACATACGGAGTACCAATACTTTAACTTAGTTCATGTTCACCAATACAATTTTTTTATGGGAGAAATTTTTCCCCAACTTTTTTTTTTTGCTTTATATATATTTTTTAAAAATGTATTATATGTTATAACTCATGACAATAAAGAATCTGCATTGCTGCTTTAGATAGTGTGTTTGAGCCGTTGGCCCCCATGAATTAACCAAGCGATGCAAGGCAGTCCTTGCTTCTGGTTATTTAAAATAATACTATATCTTTAATTATGAAATTAATATAAATAAATGTAACGATTAGATATCGTTAAAAAAATAGTGGTATACTACTTCAAAAAGTGAATGGGACAATGAACAAGCAAGAGCTTCATCTCTCAAAGCGTGATCACCAGGGAAAAAATGCAATTCTCCTCAGTAGAATATGGACTATATTTTCTTGATTTTTTATGCCTGGTGATTTGAACTTTAAATTAAAATTAGCTGAAATCCTGATTCTTTATAACATTGACCTTTCTTTTTCGGTGAAATATAACATTGACCTTTGCATGAGTCATTTAGTTAATGAATTTTTGGAGGACCTAAACATACGAGAAAAAAGTTATATGAGAGTATAATTTAGTAGCCAATATTCAAAATATCTAATGTCAAATATCATAGTTTATACGGCGACGCCATTTTATGTAATATTTCTTAAATTTTGACGTTATGATGAAATAATTTCTTAGAAATTTGTAATCATCATGACCATCCAATATCTTAGAAAATATATGATTTAAGATATTAGTGCACCCTTAATTCTCCAAGAAATAATTTTCCAACCCACTCCAAACGATACAATATATAGATACCTGTACGTGTGTACGCCTGCATATGTTGATTCATTAATTCTTTCCATCCCCATCACAACAGATCTCTTGCTTATTCTCTTACACAAACAGATGTAATAAAAATCTAATAATGTAATTTTAGTTAGGTGTTTAACGAACCCATTTATTATATTCTTATGGACTGGCTAGTACCAAACATTTAAAAATAACACTCCTATCCTAAATAGATACAAAGGCTAGTTTATGGTTAATTTTAATCATAGTTTAATCATAAATACAAAGTCTCTGTTCAATTTGTTTATTTATCACATTTATCATTTTCTTGGAAACCAATTTATATAACTTATAAATTAATATATAATATAACGTAACACAAAAGTAGTTTAAAAAATCAAGCCACATTTGTTATAATTAATTAATTTATCTAACTTTCTCAATCACCTCAAATTAATTAATTAATTCCCATCATCAAAGGAGTATTAAGCTTTTGTCCTTTTTCTTTTATGTTGTCCAAGTAAACTCCAGGTTCTAATAGCTGCACCTAAATTCCGCGTCCTTGAGACAGAGACAAATCGCAATGCGCAAAACAACCGTAAGAAATCATTATAAAACTTTGTAACAACAAAATATTGTTCCAAAAGAATGATAAACAAAACAAGCAAATTTAACAACCCACATGTGATATAATGATAGTATGATACTGGAAAACCGAGAAAGGTGTAGGGAAAACTAATGCAAGTTACAATTACTTCAAGAAGATGTACAGCAAGGCTTCTTTGCTGGCTCAGCTCCCCCAACTGTTATAGTCTTCCCTTCTTTAACAGAAGAAGGCGCAGGCTCACCGGAAGACAGTGACTTCTTGCTGATGATGCGGTATATCTCTGCAAGAATCGTCTGAAAAGCCTTCTCAACATTGGTAGCTTCAAGAGCAGACGTCTCGATGAACGAAAGGCCTTCTTTCTCGGCGTAACTCTGGGCATCTTCCGTGGCGACAGCTCGAAGATGCTTCAGATCTGTCTTGTTCCCAATCAACATGATCACAATGTTAGCATCAGCATGGTCCCTAAGCTCCTTTAGCCAACGGCTAACGTTCTCGAATGTTGTAGGTTTTGTTACGTCATAGACCAGAAGAGCTCCAAGAGCACCACGATAGTAGGCACTGGTTATTGCTCTGTATCGTTCCTGTCCCGCAGTATCCCATATTTGAGCTTTGATGGTTCTCCCCTCAACCTGGACATCCATGTCAGCACTTTTCAGTGCACGGGAATATTTTACGAATTACGAAGATATCACAAACTGATTCTACAAAACTTTCACTATAAATCACTCAAGACAATTTTTTAGCCAGCAATCAGACTAAAAGGGCATTAAAAAATAGAAAACCAAAAATGCAGACTTTTACAATCAAGAGACACAAAACTTGGTCACTGCCCCAGTTCCTCTCTGGATGCCTCTATTGGCATCAAGGCATCATCTCTAACAGATTACTCAGCTATCTTGTTTCAATGAATAATGGGTGTATTAAATATTAATGCATTCTCATTCATTATTCCACAATAATAAACCTACCAAGACAAGTTGAATGGATATCATCAAACAAAAATGTAAATACATTTCTCACAATCATAATCATAGTTTCAGAAAATTGGGGAATAAAATATAAACACAACTGACTGCAGGCCATTGATGTGCTATAGCTTGATAGGAATTACTCTTTCACTGACCAAGTATGATCCGTTAAAACCATACCAAGACACTATGGAAATTAAGTAAGGATTAAATTTAGACCGGAGATTTTTCTTTCTTTCTTTTTTTTGGTTCTGGGCGGGGGGGGGGGGTGTGGATATTGAAAAGCATCAGGAAAATGAAAACTCAGGCATCAAACCTCAATGCCACTAACCGACAGGCTGTTGGAATAAACTAAGATTTCAAAGAATAAGAAATGATTATCACGCGGTGGTCCCAATCTCACTGCAACTTCTATAGAAGCAAAATGAACTTATCGATTATCAGTGACAAACAATTAGCACTTCATGGTTCAAGTATTAGATGATGCAATAAGAGTGAAAATTAGAAAAGGACCGATCAAGATATCAGTGAAAAATATGATATTCAAAAGCATCACTCCGGGTAGCAAAGCAAAATTTGAAGAGCATTCACTTTAAATTCAGAACATAACCCAGTTCCCAGGACCCAAATCAAATGTTACACTCGTATTGACAATCCAGGAAGCGAACAGTTAAAATAAGAAAACAGATCTGGGACAAACCCAGTTTATTTAAAAAAAAAAAAAATCAGACTTAGATCCGATACGATTCCGAATAGAGCCAAAACTTGATAGGCATGAGATCAAACACACACAGAGAGTCTGTTTAAACCATTCATTTCCATACTGAATTCTTAAGCACAGATCAGATGGAAAATAGAGTCGCCGTTAGCACTGCCATAACTATCACACTGAATGAGATAGAGAAGGAGAGAACAGAGAGAAAGACCTCTAGGGTACGAGTGGCGAATTCAACACCAATGGTGGACTTGGACTCCAAGCAAAATTCATTGCGGGTGAATCGCGAAAGGAGATTGGACTTCCCAACACCCGAATCACCGATTAAGACCACCTTGAACAAATAATCGTATTCTTCGTCGGGTCTCCTCGCCATTTTCTGTCTCCCTATAAGGAAAAAATCGCCTTTTTATAGCAAATTCAGAAAATTAAGCGAACAAAAATGGAAGTGAAAAAAAATAAAAACTTAAAGCGCTCGTACCCTGGGAAATCGGACGCGAGAGGAAGAAGAAAGAAGATGCGAGTCAGAGAAAAATCAATGAAATTGAAAACGGAACCTCTGGATTTATGCAATGTTGGCCTGAGTAGTGTGAGTGGAAGTGAGAGTATTACAGCAGCATCATGACTAAAATGCCCTTCTAGTTTTCTCGGATCTGAGCATCGCAAATCGCAATTACCCTTTATAGAAAAATTTTAACCAATTCTGTTTTCCACGTCGAAATCTCCGACGAAAGCAAGAATCAAGCAAAGACAAATTTTGTCAGACATGAATATCTTAATAAACCAGGTCAGAATTAAAGACTCGAGTAGGTGAAAAAACGTCTTGTAGTTGTTAGCTTGGAAATACGAACATTAATTAAATATAGATAATAAATATGTAACAAAAATTATTTTTCAAAAAAAAAATTTATTTATTGGGTAAAAATGCAATTTTACTTTGATCTTATTTTTTAATGGTATAATTTTACCCCTAATTTTTTTATTAACTTATAAAAACAATTGCTTGCCCTTATCCCAAAATTTGTATCTTGAAGGGTTAATTTAATTTTTAATTTTTTAAATTTATTCTTATTTTGATTTTAGTATTTTAAATTTCAAACAATAAGTTTTGATTTTTATTAAATTATATGGACTAATGATTTAAATGAAAAGAAACTTGAGAGACCAAAACCTAGAGTTTAAAATTTGAGGAACTAAAAATTATACTACCTCCGGTCCTTAATATAAACCCTTGTTTAACATTTATTTTGGTCCTAAATATAAGATCCAATCCTTTATCTCTCATATTTATACATTTTTTTCAAAATAATCCTTTTAACAATGATAGTTATAATCAATGCACTTAATTAGCAAAGATATTTTAGGAAAGACAACATATATTTATTATAAATAACTAACTTAACTTCTTTTCTTAATTTCGTCAAATTACTCAACCAACTCTTATAATTAGGACCGGAGGTAATATTAACCTAACTTGAATTAGGATTGGGGGAAGTCTTTTAAATATGATTTACTTTCTCTTAGTGTTTTTCTTTGGAAAATGACAAAAAAAGAATCTAGAAATTTTAAAATTCCAATTCAAGTACCTAGCACTTCAAAATATTAGGGGAGGAAGTTATGCTTGATTTGGTATCTTGCAGATATAGTTAAATAATTAAAATGTCCTTTTTCAAAAAAATTTAGTGAACTGGCAATGACAAGTGTTCAACAATAAATGATAAGAAATTTACTTACAATGACAAGTTATTTACTAACAAATTGTGAATTCACAATAACAAATATTGAATAAAAAATGACAAGAAATTTATTAATAATGACAATTTTGAAACAAGAGTATTTTAGTTATTTAACTATATTTCCAAAATATCAGATCAGGCCTCACTTTCTCCTCTGAGTTTTGAAGTGTTAATTACCTGAATTAGAATTTCATAATTTCGAGGTTTTTGTTTTCATTTTTCTTTCTTCAAGAATCAAGCTCATGATTGCTTTTGTATTGGGAAAAAAGGGATAGTTAGGTTGACCCCTCGAAGGGAGTATGAGTGATTGTGTCCCTAGGAAGATCAGGCAACCATCTGACGCCCCAAGCCAGCGAAGACACATACCCTTGCTATTTTAAGTTGGCATGTTTGGTTTCATCTTATAAATCATCCAACCCAACCAAACACCTCTTAATTTCACCTTCTTTTTTTTGCCAGTCTTGATTTCACCATATGTAATTATACATTTGAAGAGATATTAAAACCCAGCCAAAAGTATGCGGGAAAAAAAAGGTGTAGTATATGATTAAAAAATGATTAATACAATTTTTGGTCCCTTAAATTTATCCTCATTTTAGTTTTAATATTTCAAGTTTTAAATAATAGGTTTTTGTTTATCAAGCTTCTTACCATTGCAAACATAATCCTATAGTTTAATAAAAATATAGACCATTTTGTTCTTGAAGGACCAAAACGTATAGTTTGAAATTTAAAGAATCAAAACCAAAATGAAGATAAATTTATAGTACCATAAATTATATTAAACCTTGAAAAAATAATAGTGTAATTATAATATGTAACTCCTATGTAAACTCGCTTTTTTTAATGGCTTTCCCCCATTTAATGGAGAAACCACAACAATTGTAAATTATTGGATCCACCTTGATTATTCAAATTCAATAATTTTTAAAAAATGCAAATTATTTTGTCTCATTAAAAGCTGTCTAAATAATTCAAAGTTTCAATGAAGACAGCAGAGAAAAGCTAACCACTGGCATGGATTAAACCTTTGTAAATGTGGTTTTTATCTCAACTATATTTATGTTTGTACATGTTCTTATAAAAAGCTAGTTTGATTATCCATCTAACTTTAAGGGGGTGTTTGGATAGAAACCAAACTATGGTTTCAGAAGTGCTTTTACGGATTACGAAGTAAATATGTGGAGGAGGTTACCTTATTTTGCGGAAAAGTGATTCTGAAACCGTAGTTTTGGTTTTACCAAACACCCCCTAAATCTTTTGGCTTTAATGCCTATCCAATCAGAATTTTTGGACTCAAATTGCCTCTTGATGTGATTTTGGGGTTACAAAAGCCAATCAAGCTCTCGTGACAAGAAATCGAATTGTTTTTTCCACTCTAACCAAACCTTCCATTTGGTATCATAAAATCACTTGATCCATTCAATTCAAATAAGACTGGAATTATTTCGAAAGTACAATTATTTGGATGTGATGTGTTTTTTTTTTTGTGTGGCAAATTTGCGTAATATTTGACATTTTCATTAGGAAAAAACTTACATTAAATTTTTTTTATATTCATTATGTCAGGTTCTTTAATTATGTATGATTATATGTTTTTTTATTGATGTGAATTTATAATTAAATATTATTAAATACTAACATTTTAAAAATAAGGTACACAGTTATGTGTAATTAAATAACTTGACGTAATTAATATAAGGAATTTAAGTATTATACTTTTTATTATTAATTTAAAATGAGTAAAATGCACTGATCTCACCTCCAATTTAACTTAATTATGAAAAATCTCTTTTCTATTTTTAAAATCCACACAAATCTCATAAGATCAATATTTTTTTTAACCTTCACCTTAAAATCACAATTACGGAAAACAAACTTTCTTTCATTCCTTTGACCCAACCATCGTTACGTCATGAGTCTGGAACAAAACAATCCGTATTTAACGTAAATTTAGCTTGTTAAAATTTTAACATTTTCAATCATATTTTTAGAATTTTAAATTATATACATTTATTTATTTAATATTTTTTTAAACTTCAAATATAGAAATTGGCTGAAATAATATTTCAGACATATTGTGACAAATAGTAAAATAAAACTATATTCAATTTCTTTGTTCTAATTTCAACATCCATTTTTTCGCTTTCGTTTTTAAAAGTAAAAAATCATTTCTCCCCCACTCGCCCACTAAGCAACGGAATAAAACCACGTGAGGCCACCGTTCTACCTTCTCCCACTCCCTTTACGATCAAAAACCCTAGCTTGCCGTATTATACTTGCGTTGTCTTGCTCTTGCTTCCTTCACACAGTTGCTGCGCTTGTGCTTCAGGAGAACGTTCGCATTGTAAGATCTCTCTAGTTTCCTAATCTTACTATCTGTTCATTTCTGATGACTGGCTTGCTGTGTATACTGTGTTCGTTTTCATTGAAAAAGAATAAGGTCTATATACGAGTTGAATTTTGTTCTTTTCGCTTATTTTCTGAATGAGACTGAAAAAAAAAGTCATTTTTCTGTTGCCAAGTTGCTTTTGTAGATTGATCGGTTTTTTTTTTTTTCCTTGTGGCTTTGGTGATCAGATCTTGAATTAGAGGAGGAGCGGTACGTTTTCCCGTGAAGCCATGGCGCTGGTAAATTTCATTCAATTCTAATAATTTCTCTGGGACACAAACAATGAGATGATCATGGGGAAATTACATCAATTGAACTCTGTCGGGAATATGGAGGGTTTCTTGCATGCTTGTATAAGTGCATCAGCATGCTTGTATATTCGTGCTCTGGGATATACTTTACTATGTTGTTTAAAGCCGGGTGAACCGTGATGCATTGTAATTTCAATCTGTTATGGAATTAACGCTGATTTGGTTCTCTATCTCTCGGGAACGTTTGGAAAAAGAATGGAAAGTAAACAATACACCTTCACGTGTTGGTGTCACGCAATGTAAAGGATGCGTTTTCCTTCCAATACTTAGTTTCATCAAAGAAGAGTAGCATTCATATGTGGATAAGCTATCAAATGACCCTTTTTGGCTCCACCTACATGAATATATTTACAATAAAAGAAAGGGGATAGAGGTAAATAAGGTGTTTTTGCATTTCTTACTCTTCATTTCCATCCAACAATCGAGGAATTACTCATCTTCACATGCTTAATAATTTTGCCACCAATTTCTTGTAGGAGTTGCATAGTATCACTTTTCTTCGTTGCAAACTAATATTGGCTTGTTTTGGAACTTTGATGGCTAAACTTTTTAATGAATCTCTGCTGTTGTTTATTTTGTTGTTTATGCCCAGATCCTGTACCCTGGGAGGAACACAAACAAAAATGGTTATAAGGCACTTATTGCAGCAGAGTATGTGGGTGTGCAACTTAAAGTGTCCGAAGATTTTGAGATGGGTGTCTCTAATAAAACTCCTGAGTTTCTGAAGATGAACCCTATTGGCAAGGCATGCTACTTGTATTTCTCTCTGCAATAAAGAAATTTTTTACTTTAGCTTGAACTTATTTGAGAATTTGAGATGCATTATCTTTACAGGTTCCTGTTTTGGAAACCCCAGATGGTCCGATATTTGAGAGCAATGCAATTGCACGCTATGGTATGATTTCATTCACTGTACATTCTTTCAACTTTTTAATAGTGTTAGTTTATGTCTATATATATATATATGTTTTTTTTGCTGCAGTTGCTCGCTTGAAGGCTGACAGTCCTCTATTCGGATGCGCTCCCATTGATTATGTAAGCTTCTCTAATTCTTTTCCATCATTCACTTGTTGGGGTCTCTGTTGTATCCCACCCTCTTATGAAGTGTGCAGAAGACCTCTAGTTCTAGAATGATGTTGCATGCATCACTAAGTGCATTTTTGCTTATATCTGATCATTTATCTTAATGAATCAGGGTCACATCGAACAATGGATTGATTTTTCTTCATTGGAGATTGATGCTAATCTTCGAATTTGGTTCATACCAAGAATGGGATATACTCCATACCTTGCCCCGGTAGGTTGTGTTACTGTTAATAGTTTCGCTCTGTTTATTTGCCTCAGAATATGTTATGAAGTCTGTATTCTTAGGAATTGGTTTTAATTCCATTATATAATCCACGTGTCATTATACTTTTCAACAGTTCCTGTTATCCTGTGGAAAATCCTTGTAAAATTTATTCACCAACGAACTTCAGCTCAGCACTGAATACACAAGTGTAGTTAAGTGTACTGTTGAAATTATAGGGATAGTTAGCTGTGCTGTAGAAATGTTACAGCTAAATGATGAATTCTCATGTTCATTCTTCTTGTTGACATGAAAATGGTGGTTTGTGTTTTCAAGTCCCCCCCCCTTTTTGGGTTATCTCCTTTAATTTTGTGCTGCCCAGGTATTTTATTTGCCTAATCTCTTAACGTTTCTGGATGAAGGTTGAGGAGGCTGCAATTTCTGCATTGAAAAGAGCATTGGGTGCTTTGAACACTCACCTTGCCTCAAATACTTACCTGGTTGGCCATTCTGTGACCCTGGCTGACATCATCATGACATGCAATTTGTTTTTTGGTTTCAATTGTCTCATGACCAAGAGCTTCACCTCAGAGTTTCCTCATGTTGAGAGATACTTCTGGACCTTGGTCAACCAGCCAAAATTCAAAAAATTTTTAGGCGAGGTCAAGCAGACTGAAGCTGTTCCTCCTATTCAATCTGCAAAGAAGCCTTCTCAGACCAAAGAATCGGCTAAACAGAAGGGAAAGGATGAACCAAAGAAAGAGACTAAGAAAGAGGCTCCAAAAGCAGAAAAACCTGCAGATGCAGAAGAGGAGGCGCCAAAGCCCAAACCCAAGAATCCCCTTGACCTCCTTCCTCCAAGTAAGATGATATTGGATGAGTGGAAAAGACTCTACTCAAACACTAAAACCAACTTCCGTGAGGTTGCAATCAAAGGTATGAACTCTATTTAACAAATTTAATGCTATTAAACATACAAGTTTAGCTATGTTTCAAAATTTCTAATATAAGCTGCCTAGTTCTAGAGACACTAAGGTGCAATATTATTTGTAAGATCTAATGTTATCCTTGTTGCAGGATTTTGGGACATGTATGATCCTGAGGGATACTCTCTTTGGTTCTGTGATTACAAATACAACGATGAGAATACTGTTTCCTTTGTGACCATGAACAAGGTTGGTGGATTTCTTCAGAGGATGGATCTGGCCCGCAAGTATGCATTTGGGAAAATGCTTGTGATCGGTTCAGAACCACCATTCAAGGTGAAGGGATTATGGCTATTCCGTGGGCAAGAAATCCCCCAATTTGTGATTGATGAGTGCTATGACATGGAGCTCTACGAATGGACTAAGGTTGACATCTCAGATGAAGCTCAAAAGGAGCGTGTCAATCAGATGATTGAAGATTATGAGCCTTTTGAGGGACAGCCTCTTCTGGATGCCAAATGCTTCAAGTGAACCACCAATCCCTTGTTGAAAGGGTATGTTTTTGTCATGTTTCCTTGACTTCGGTAGAATTAATTATTTCCTTTTCCAATTAAAAGCGAAGCCTTGGCTGTACTTAGCTTGAGAAACAGTGTTATTCAACTGCTTGATATTGCAATTACTACAATTTTGACTGCAGGGATACAATGAGGTTAACAAGAACTTATAAATTCTAAATATAAATATGAATCCACTGTAGTTAGTAAAGATAATTTCCCCCTTTTATAAAAGGAAAGTAAAAGAAAAGCCTTTGCTGTACAAAACCTATTGTCACTATCCTGAAAATTTCGGGAAGTGGCTCATGCTGGCAGAATCTTCTGCATGGCGGCTTTGCACATTGCATCTCTCACCCTATTTGTTTCCAAAATAAATAAATCGACGATGTCTTTTAGTGTTCACCGTGGCGTGTTTTACGGACTCGTAATTCGTCTAAATAATATCGAAAGGTTCATTTTTATTGAGAAAAATAAAAGGATACGAAAAAAAAAGGTTTTTTTTTTCAATGAAAAAAAACTAGATTTAGGAGAGGTTTATAATTTATTATGACATGGATTGGACGTTTGTAGCCAGTTTGAAAATTATTTACATGGTTATTCAAACATACGGCTTTTAAAGCAATTACATATCAATCAATAAACACAAACGAGCAAATAATTGCATTATTTATAGTTATAATTTATAGTGATTTATTTTAGGGATTTTGCGTAACGCATGATATTATAATCCTTTTTTGGCGGTTTGAAAATAGAGTTTGAGACGTTTTGTTAACAGGATATTTAAGACAAGCTATTTATTTTGTTTCGTTAACAAGATATTTAAATCAGCTTGTCTTGTAATTTTTTTTTCAAAAAAATGAATACAATGAAACTTGTGGTATAAAAAGAATAATAAATTTTAGTCCTTCCACCTTACTTATGGATTTGGTTTCTGAAATTTAATTTAATTTTATTAATAAAAGTTTAAAATTTCATAATCGGATACAATTAGTTTTTGTAGTGTTATTTTTTCTTCAACCTGGAAGAATTATATATGATTATAAGTTTTTAACATAATAAAAGTTAAACAAGCTAAAGAAATCAAAAGTTTGATGATCAGAAAGAGTTGATCAAACTAGATTTGGCGGGTTTATTTAATCATTTGCATCGATTTCTTTTTAAAAAATATTTATTTATGTTAAGATTTCTTACAATTTTTAATAATTGTATTTAATGATATTGATATTGGGATATTGTTTTTTTACCTAAATACTTGTGATCTAATGACTTTCCGCTGAGAGATTTAATAAGAAATAAAAAAGAAAAAGCTAAAATGTAAAATACATAATTATATTTCGTATTAATTTTATCTAATAATTTTAAAATAATTTTTTATGTAAATTCTTTATTTTCTACCCTATTTCAGTTTATGTAATTAATTTTCATAGAATGATATAAAATAAAATATAATTCTCGTAAAAGTTTTTCTGCGTTTCTTTCCAGACTAGTAAACAAGAGAATGGGGTCTTCCGGTCAAAAACAAAAACAAAAAACAAGAGAATGGGGTCCACCGAACCAAACATCAAAACGAGTAAACAAATTGTCAAAATAAATTTTTATCGAATTTGAGAGCTTTGAGAAATCCATTGACGCGTTGCTCAAAGTCCGCGATCTCTCCAGACGCGCAGAAATGAGTGCAATTTCCCGAAGCAGATCGCTCAATTTCTTCATATTTTTCCTTTTGTGCTCCTTACAATTCATCCTAGGTTTGCCCCACCCATCTCTGCTCCTTTTTTTATCGCAATTCCTTGAGCTTTTCGCTTGATTTGGCTCGATATTCATTTGATTTGTAGCTTTATTTGGGTTGGCATGTTGCTTCTCTGTTTTATGTCCGTGTTTATTGATCAAAATTCATATTCACTGTAGTTCTTAGGGCTAGTTAATTTCCTTTTAATAGATGCATAAGCTGTGCCAATATTTTCAGTTGCTTTTTGAGAAATTTTCTGGCCGTTTTCTTATGTCTAAGAAAGACTGGAAATGTATAAATGAAATTATGATGCCGATGACTGTCGACAGTGATTTCGCGCTTTTGGATGATGGCATCTATAACCCACCTCTGGTTGTGCAAAATAGGCTACTTGATTGACCGTGTACAAAATTTTGATGGATGAATTTGGTTTGTCTTGTGTTTATCTGTTATTTGGACGAATTGTTTTTCTTAGTATTCGATGTAATCTAAGTACATGCTTCTTAAAAGGCAAAATTTTGAAGCTTTAAATCATTCTATGACTGCTGAAGCTCGAACTCCTACTTGATATGCTTGATATGTGTATTCTTTTAGGCTTTAGCAATAAGCACCCCGGCATAATTTTAGGACATTGACTCTTTCCCGATTATAACTTCAGTGGTGGACCTTATTTGCGGACGTGATTATTATTTCTTGATCATGTTCCACTACTTGGGTTGAAAACTTGTACTACTTTCAGATTGCACTGATTATGTTAAATTTCAGTTTGTATTTTCCTTCACGTTAGTTGGTATGAGAACTATGGTTATGCTCTTCAGTCAAATCCTTTGCGCTTTGTCTTTCTCTCAGACTTGTGCAGATCCGCACCATCTGATTTCTAGGGTATTTTTTTCTTCAGGCGTTTCTGATGATTCATCTGGTGCCCATGATAAGCCTAAAAGAAAGGGTTCTACGGTTGCCATTATAGTGATCGCACTTGTGGTAGTTTTGCTGTTCTTTTTTTGCCTGTTTAAGTTGTGGCAGAAGAAGAAAAGAGAAGAGCAATATGCTCGCCTTTTGAAATTGTTTGAAGAGGATGATGAGTTAGAGCTTGAGCTTGGCATCAGGGAGTGACCTCTGAAGTTCAAAATCTTGCGATGATTGTATTTGAGGTTGGTCTTCATTCATAGTTTAACTTTTTGTTTTCCCTGCTGACTGGAACATGAAGACCATGCGTACTTTCTTTAGTTTCATGGCTTGGCTAGCCATTGGTGAACCGATAGAAAAATCTTCCAATCATTAAAAATAAAAAATAAAAAAATGCAAACCTGGAATTCTTCCTTTGGTATTTGATGAACTAACTAACCTCTAAAATTACATCGTTGGACCGTAAGAAAAAATTCTGAACCTACATCAAGCTTTTTGCTATCCATAACCAATCTATGCAGCCGACAAACCTTTTCACTAATGAACATCAATTGCCTCTACTGTACAAAGTTACCTTTTCATGATATTAATGTTCTCCTTTTACTTCATGTTGACACTGAATTCTCTAATCAGGATAAAGTCCGCAAAGATGCAATATCTGCTAACACTTGAATCATGATTTTTTTTTTATTTTTGGGTTCTTTTGGATGATGTTTCCATTTGATAATTATGCCATATCAATTTCCATTTTCTTTACGTGCAGGTGTAGGTGGTTGTGCTCATTTGAAAATTTTGCTTCTTGCGTAGTCAAGATGGATAGTGTGTTCCATGATGAGGTTAGGATTTGAAAAGTTTGTAATGATATTCAATGATTTTTTCATAGATAGATATATGTTATTTAATTTCTTATACGGTTTGGTAAGGAAGCCCAACATTGTAAGACGTAATTGGAAATGGTTACTCGGAGTTTGTGATACATCTCAGGTATGTTCAGGTGTTAAATTGAAATTCAGTCTTGACATGTTGAAAAGCAATACTACCTCCGATCCTTAATATAATACCTTGTTTGACTTTTATTTTGATTCTAAATATAAGACTCCAATCCACTTTGTCTCTCATATTTATATATATTTTTCAAAGTAGCCTTTCGAATAATAAGAGTTCTAGTCAATACACTTGATTAGTAAGGATATTTTAGAAAAGACAACACCTATATATGACAAATAACTAACTCAACTTACTTTTTTAATCTTCTTAAATTAGTCAACTGATTTTTATAATTAGGACTGAAAGTAGTACATGATTTCCATGAATGTCGTCTTGTCATTTGTTATATTTTAGGGGCAACCGTAGCCCTTTTAGCCTTTATCATTCTGGGTGAAGTGAATGAAGAGGATCTTCATAAAGTGGGCGCAGCATCTGTGTTTCCAATCACTGAATAGCACTTAAAAAGTTCCAACTTAAGGGTATGTTTGCCTGGAAATAATGGATGGGAATGGAGATGTTTCATTGAAAATCCTGCTTGTTTTGGACTTGTTAAACAGAGGCACCAAGAATTTTTAAAACTAGCCTACCACCGTCCTTGTTTCTTTATATTTTAAGCTAATCTAATTTGGAAGCTATGCCCAAAGAAAAAACGATTTTACAATAAGGAAACTTGACACTTAATCATCCATTCCTGTTCCTTTAATTATTTCATCGCGACTCTCACAGCTACCTGTATGTGAAGGTTATGGAGACAGTATTGTATTTCCATTTGACAAAAAAGAAGAAGACAGAATTCATGTTTACTCCGCACGCTACTGTGCAAATGACCACGTAGTAATGATGAAGGGCTGCTTTGGTTCACAAAAAATGAAAGGGGATTGAATGGAATGTAACAAAGTGATAATAATCATCTCATCATGAATCAGTTTGGCATGATATTTAAAATTTTAAAAAAATAACTTCATAGAAAAATTTGAAAAAATAAGGAAAAATTTCAACCAAAAAAAAAACTGAAATTATGATATTCTGATTTAAGCATTTAACACTTCAAAATAACTGAGAAAGAAGTAAATCTAAATTAAAATTTTAAAATTTGAGAGAAGTGACAAAAATATTATTTGTGAATGACAATTTATTTGGAAATAACAAGTTTTAATTGTAAAATAATAAGTTTTGATTTGAAATTAATAGCATATTTTTTTTGTACATAACGTGAAATAACATATGAATTAATTAAAAATGATAATAATTTATCTAAAAATAACATGTCTAGATTGTGAAATTACAAGTCTCGATTTGGGATTAACATTGCATTTTTTTTCTATGCAAACATGTGAAATAACATGTGAGTCAATTAAAAATGAAAATTCATTTAGGAATAACAAGTTCTGATTATGAAACATGTTTTGATTTGGGATTAATAACACATTTTTTCAATAGGATTAAAAAAGAGGCCTTTTTGTTATTTCTCTTGAATTTCAAAATTCTAATTTAGGTTTACTTCTTTTTTTGTCATTTTGAAATGTTAGGTGTTAAATTGAAAAACACTAATTTTAGGTTCTTTTTATGGAATTTTCCCTTGAAATAATTATGAATAAAAGTGAAATTACTCTTTTACCCCTATCTGGAAAATGCGTTCTCTCTCCTTTGTCATCGCCGCCGCCTATCACCACCATTGCCGTTCACCACACTGCTGGTCACGACACAGTTTGTGAAACTAAAAATAAATTACGTTCACCACGTGCGAATAGGTAGGATAGCTTTCTAACATTGCGAATATTGATTGGTATTTTGATAGGTTCACAATTCTTTTTTATTATTATTATTATTATCATTTCAGGACAAAACGCTGTGCAAGCTCTTGCGAGACTTCCAGCTTCATTAATGAGACGTAAACTTCTTAATGAGATCATAATGGAATAAATATTTTTACAGTGTAATATAAGATACTTAAATATGCAAAGCAATTTATCTAATTTTCTTTGTAAAATCTTACACAAACATCTTCCTCTTTTGTATTTTTCTTTGTTTCTTTCCTTTTCAATGCATGGACATGTGAGATTGCAAATTTAATCATAGAAGTGACGCGGATGGAAATGACCCTTTTCTTTTCCTTCTCTTTTTTTTTTGGCCAATGACCCTTTTCTAATCTTATCTTTTCCTTTTGCCAACGACCCTTTTCATGTTCTTCTTGGCCAACTGAAAATGATACTCCGTATGATAACGCGAAAGGGTATGCAATGCAGGAGCGATCTGCCTTCAAATGCACGCAGGGACGCAGAAATAAATATATTCTGTGTTTTCAAAAATATTCATGTACAATACGATTAAATGTCATATATGACACAATTCACATAAATTTTTTCTTCCGGGGGTTATTCAACTCCTTTGTAATTTTGGCTGAAGGCAACCAAAAAAAAAAAAAACTCATTTTGCAATTTGAATTGATTAATTAATTACCAGTGTTTGTTCCCTCCTAATTGAAATAGTTATAAGAAACGTTAAAACAGAGATGAAACTAGTTGTGGACAGCTTTCTACAGACTCATTACACAGGATTTATTGACGATTTATTATATATGCTAATCATCACATTTAGAATAAACTTTACTTACCACCGTAAAATTTACATGCTCATGTTCACTGCCAGACCAATACTAAATTAAAATAAACATGGTACACGTCTAAAAACCTTTTTCCAGCCAACTACACAATCATCTATTCATTACAAGTATTAGAACAGAACCGCATCAATTTACAGTAGCATGCCAAAAAGGCTTAAAAGTAAGCGTCTTTCAACCACACAAATTCAGAAAGTGTAAATCTTCCTGACTTAGCATGTCCCTACAACCCCAGTTTGATCTGATACTTCAGTCAAATCTTCTTTGTAGTGACAAGTATGATAACCTGCAAACTTGGAACAAAACCAGCACACCAAAAAATAAATGCGATATTTACAGTTCATACCACCACAAGCTATGGCATGGCAAACATCTGAGCATTGATGGCTTATTGTCTTTATAGTTCCACTTGAAATCCCAAGATACAGAACTCACCAAATCCACTTGCTAACTTGAAATAACAACAATGTTGTCAAAATGTTCACGCAACATTACAATCAAAAGCATTCTACTCAATTTATTTTAGGGTCAATACCACGCATATCTATACATATGCATGTAATCTAATGTTCTGACAAGTGTAAAGAATCTTCTATTACATTAGGAGTAATGCTACTCTGTAGCACCTGAATTCTAGTTACTGCTATAACAAGTGAACTGACAGTCAATGTTCCAGGGGTCACCAACACACCAAAGAATAGACATCATTCAAAGCCTACTAGACAGAATGAATGAAGTAAATAACCCATCCCGATCAGACATGTCGAACAAATCAGTGCCAAAACCGTGGCATCCCAACTAGCTGCTTGTGAAGATTCTGCCCCCCGGTGACTCAGGTCAGCTATATCAGTGAAAAGGCCATGATGCCTTTTAAACAGACCAGAGGTAGATAACTTAGCTTGAGAATAATTATATATCTATTAATATAGATATGAACCACTGTCAACGTATCAGGGTCATCTTCCTGTCTTGGCTCGTTTCATTCCTGTACTGTTAAAGGGTGACATGCTTGGACTCATACTTGGGCTCATGCTTGGGCTTTCTTCCCTCAAAGTACCATTCAGCATAGCTAACTCCCTTAATTGCTGCTTCTTATAGTGATCAAGAGATTCATCCTGGCATGTTAACAAAAACTAATGACTTGAACAGAAAAAGATGCCCAATTGATGTGAAACTAAAATGAAAAATGATATATCAATACCACAGGCTTCAAAAGATTTTCAAGTATTGCCACGGCATGTTCCAATCGTGAATTGATAATGTCTTCTGGAAACTCTGCCTCCACCAACACATGCAATGGCTCTTTAAGGTGCTCATATCCAGGTTTATCCTTAAGCTTCTCTTCCTACAATGAAAACTCAAGCTCCATAAGAGAGTCTAGGAAATTAAAAAAAAAAAAAAAATCATATTTGTTCAGGCTTTTTTTTTTTGGGGGGGGGGGGGGATTTGTTTTTCATGTCCGTGACATAAACCAGTTCATTTCAACCAGCACCACAATTAGGAAGTGTTAAAATCAAAAAGTCATAATTGAAAAAGATATATCAAGTCAGAACACAATTCTTCAGGGAGTCTATACTGCATAATTATTCACCTTGATAGAGTCCTTCACGGAGCCACAACCTCTGATGTAAACCCTACATTCAGTCATGGCTTCAACCCTTTTCAATGAGTTCCCACGAGGTCCCAGAATTCGGCCAACAAAATTATACTGCCAAGGTTTGAGTCAAAACCACAGTACATTGAAATAGAAAACTTGACATCAACTGTAGTCCAAGAGCAAGAAGTTTTACTTACATTTGGATATTTGTCAACAGGTACATCAAGTCGGATGACTCTTTTCACTACAGGGGTAGTTGGAATCCCTTGAGAAGGAGGCCAACCCACTGGGGGTGCTTGAAAAGATGCCATTCTTTGGAAATGTCCATTGTCCTACATGATGACATTTGGCATTAATGAGAATGCCCTTTATACAGCCACAAATAGTGTGCACATCTGAAACTCTTATTACACCAAGTTTCCTCAATTTAACTAAAATTTTCATTACGTCCATGACTAAGTTATAAGCATTGTTGCAAAACTAGGGAGAGCAACAGCATAGAGGAAATATGGCATGTACAAAATTCACCTTCAGCCCCTACCTCAGCTAACATCTATGCCATGACCACAGAAGTTATTGACCCTTTATTAGGGGTGTACACATTGCACTAAAAGCAAAAGACTATGAAATTCCTAAAAATCATGCCATTTGCTCTTGAGCTTACAAATACAAATCCTACAGTTTCTTAAGTCAATATCCTTTTGAAGAAAACATACAACATTGAGTCAAAAACATAAACTAAACCACCTTAACATCTTCCTCAGCAGACCTGATCAAGGGCCAAAACGCTTGCTTGATCCAGTCAGCCTAGCCCCAATAAAACAGATAAAAGCAGACAAGATCAAGCCTGCTTTGGATTTTAAGCAAGACCTGTGTGAAATTAATATTATTAGTACTCCTCTGGTCCTTAATATAGGACCTAATTATTGAGTTGATTTTGGTCCTAAATATAAGACTTATTTCTCATATTTATCAATTTTCCCTAGATTATTCCTATA